ATAAATAGAAAATCTAAAAATTTATATTCACTCGATATTTCCGAAAAAAATTTTGTGTCTGTGTAAGACATGTTTTAAAAAATGTTGCGCTAGTCTGGAATTATTTCAATCGGATGATTGATGCGCTCAATATAATAACCACCAACAAAAGGGATACACGTACGCACACATGCGCACGTTCTATGCTCGTTTGCCATTGAAATCACGATCCATCACTACTTTAAAGAAGTAGCATTCCTTTATCGTCCTAATAAAAGAAAAAATGGTAGATATATCTGGCGTTGTACTGCTGTAAACAATCGATATGCTATTTTGTCTCTATGTTCCGTTTGAGAAGAGACTGATTTTCTACTTGCAATAACACGAATGAAGAGTACGTAACAGGAAAGATTAGAAAGAATTTAAAAGAGAAAGCTAAAAGTAAGCAATGGAAAAGCGTACGCTCACATCAACACATCATTCTGATAACATTATCGGACGGCGAAGCCAGAACAACAGGATATCATTCTTAGAATGGAGGGAGTTCATAATACAGTTAACTGTACAACGTACAACGCATTTGTAGAAGAACAGTGTGCATATCGTGGATATTGCATCACTTTGCTTGTGATAACTTGACATATAGACAAACTAATTTTTTTTCGATATTTCTTACTTCTTTTAAATACTTTTGTTCGCTAAAAGGTCAATTTATGCGTTGGAGGAAGGGGTCAATTTATTCAAAAAAGTTTTTAAAACTCTCACAACTTTTGTTACCGTTTAAACAGCGGAATCAATTATAATTGAGGAGTCGAATTTAAAATCACAAAGGAGGATGGTGAGGCGGTTTGCCGTCTTCACTTACCCTGTGATGGCTCCCTACCATTTTTTACGTTATTTAATTGTACAATAAGGTAGACTAATACTATGATTATATTATTAAATTATTTATTAATTACAGTTAAGTTATTGTTTACGTAAACAAATTGTTGTTAACCGTCGGTTAACCTAAAATTAGTGAATAAATTGTTACTCTAGATTATATAAAATCGTTTTTAATGTAAAATTATTAATGTACTTATATCTCAAAATAAATAAAAACATAAAATTCGTTCCTATATAACATGGTTGTGGCACCAAATTAATATATTTTGTTTTATATGTAACATTGTGTTATTGTAGAATGAAGATTCGGGCTATAGGGCCGTGGTCCAAGTGAACTATTCTGTCCAGACGTTTCCAAGCTACTGCGGCTGACATTCTCAGTGGTAGTGCTGCGTTGACAACGTAAACGTAGTGAATGTAGCGACAAGTTCTCGCTGTCGAGACTTCGAAATATAATCTACGTTCACGTTGTCATCGAAGCACTACCACTGAGGATGTCAGCCGTAGTAGCTGATGAAACCTCTGGACAGAATAGTTTACTTAGACCACGGCCCTATAGCCCGAATCTTCATTCTACTATGGATTTCGGCTGTGAAAGCCTTTGTTCTTATATTATGTTATTGGTTCGTCCAATATATTTCTTTACGGTAAGACATACAGACTAATAGTGCTTCTTAAGGAATCGAAGGTTTTATATGTATTTTTAAAGCAATAAACTTGCTGTCTTTTTATTCTGCGTTTGAAACATTTATCAATTTTCATTGGAATATCAACGATTCAAACTGGGAATTTTTCTTTTCGGATTTGAACCTACTTCATAAAATTTATTGCTTTCTTACAGCAACAGTTGTTAATATTATTGTCCTTTAATTTCAATGTGTGCTGATTCCGTTCTGTACAATCGCTGGTCCGTTACATCCTTATTCTAAATTGTCCCCGTCTGCAGATTTTATATAGTCTGTAAAACAGAACTTCCTTCGCGATAACGTAATTGTTCGTTCTCAGTTTTTTGAAGTTTCAGAGGATAGTGGAAAATCACATAAAATGCTTCAAATGGTTCTCTAAACTATGGTGTTTTTCTTTTATTGGATCGTTTTTATAAAATACTTTTACGAGGTGCGGCAATTGTGTTTCCGGAAATGTTCAGATAAAGTTGAAAGATAACGAACCTTCTTTTTACTATTCGACGTAGTTGTAGTGTTAACACGCGCGACAAAATATGCCCTACTTACTATACCCTATTTGAATATACAACGAACATATATGTCTGCTACTTAACTTTTGGTTAGCTACTGTAAGAAAATTATTATAACAAAATAATAATCAAGTTTAAAATTAAATCAAAAAATTTGGGAATTTCATTTAAAACTTTATTATTAAAAACTCGATTCGTATTTCGCCTTGTAAGGGCATCTTCAGGAGTAACAAAAACTATACTAATTAACAAACAGTAACTAAAATAATTTATAGTACATCCTAAGAAGTTGGGGGTTGAACAATGTTTGGGTCCAATAGGGGATTATTATCAAAATCTAGTTGCTCATTGGTGATATTTTTATTTTCTTTTTTAGCTTTTTGAAGTGAAACTTCTTTACGCACGGTAGAGTAAGTTCATTTCATGCGAGTTGCTACGTAACGAAATCATGCAACGGATTCCCCCTCTACTCGGCCACGTAGTCGAGTTCGTAGTGAAGATCGCTTGAGCCGTGAGCGCGCTTCAATGCAACGTTCGTTACAGATAACTCCGGCATTCATAATGTACAAATAATACCATTAAACCAATTCCTTAACCACTATCCCGGTATGTTTGTGTGTTTGGAGAAGTTTCATCTCAGTAGCGTGTTGTATTTTTTTTTTCTAAAATTTCATACCTATTGGACCTCCTTTAAAAAAAAAATAAATAAAAAAGGCTAATAAAGAAAATAAAAATATCACCAACGAGCAACTAGATTTTGACAATAATCCCCTATTGGACCCAAACATTGTTCAACCCCCAACTTCTTAGGATGTACTATAAATTATTTTAGTTACTGTTTGTTAATTAGTATAGTTTTTGTTACTCCTGAAGATGTCCTTATAAGGCGAAATACGTATCGAGCTTTTAATAAAGTTTTAAGTGAAATTCCCAACTATTTTGATTTAATTTTAAATTTTTAATCTTGAATCATGTTTCATCAAGTGATAACGGCAGACACCCTTAAGTTACAATAATCAAGTCTTCTAAATTTTATTCGGATTTATTTACAATCAATGCTAGTTGATTACTAACTCGCGCTTCCTATCTTTTTCTTACCTGTTCTATTTTTATATAATTAATTTTTTATTCCCCACTCTACATACTAATTCATATACTTCTGCATAATACATAATCGAGCATTGTTGTTTCTTAAAACAACCGTATTACTATTGGTCTGGGTCAGGATCACCAATATAATGTTTATACTTAATTATAATTTAAACCAGAGCCAGGCAAACTCGGCTCTTTTGACTCCCGAGTGCTCCTCAGGTTCAGCCAAGGAGCACCTCATTGATCCTGCGAGTGCGAGTGAGATGAATTTTTCCTTTTCTTATCCGTTCCATTTCGTAGGTGAATCCCCTCTTCCATAGCCAAACCCAATTGCGAACGTAGTAACGAAAATTTTCGTACGTATTATTTAAGTTGCTTGCGAGAGTGGCTCCGCTCGTCTACGGGATGAAGGGGCTTGATATGGGAGTGGAAGGGAGAAAAAAAAGAGAAAGCAATATGGGGCATTACTGCTAACTCTCTCGTACTCATTGAAGGGTACGGAGTGACTCAAACTAACCTCAGGTAGCGGCTCCTACGAAGTTAAAGTTTGCCCGGCTCTGCTTTAAACCAGACCGAGTGTTCTTTCACAATTAGCTGGTAACTAGCAGCATCAGCGTGTTTCTTCCGTTTGCTCATGTATTGCTTATTATTTGTTAAATTGGATGAAGAGTGATTCAAGATGTTTATACTACAGCCAACCTATAGTTAGTAGTTATTCTTTCTTTGTTGTAACATACAGATATATTTATATCGATAGTAATCTAATAATCTACCACGATCAAATTTTACAGTAATCGCAAGGTACACCCTAGATTTGCGGGTTGGAGCGCCGACGCCCAAACCATATATCATCGCTAAAAAGATGAAATCCTTAATTTTCATATAAATAAGGGACAATTGCTGCATCCTTAGTATTTACAGGAAATACGAGCTTTGCAGGAAACCGATTTTCAGCTGCTAGTGAATTTGTGTTAGCGGTTTCTACAAGAAAGTATTGCAGAGCACAATTGTTTTCATAGGGTGTTGTTTCACGAAATAATGATATTCAGTATTGTAAAAAGTAAGTCTACTTCTTAGAATTTAGTTTATTCCTTAGAATAATTTATTGGTCCAGCATCACAACGGCGACATCAGACGCATTAAATTGAGAGCAATTGAAAATGAAGTGCATGGGACAAGCCAGGTAATATTACCTGCGGGCATACATTTTGTAAACAAACGCTTGAAATCAGTAAGCTCAGTTAAGATCTAATCATTTTTAGTGTGTGTGTGTGGTGTTTTGTGCATGTGATTTTAAAAAGAAAAGACTGAATTGTGCTAAATTGTTATAGTTGTAAAAATAATCAACAGTTATCGCTTACAGAGAATTTCCATGTTCACCCAAAAATCAGAATTGCTAAATTCTTGTTGGTTTAATTTACATTTTATTGTTTTGGCATTTTTTTGTATCTTATTAAGAATTAATCACGTTGCTGTACTCGCCATAAGATTTCCCTATTGCATCTAGTTGACTCCCTCCAAAGCTTGCTACTTATGTCAGAAACACCTTGTTTTACGTACTTTCTTCCATTTGACACTTGCAATATATTGGATGTATGGATTTTGCAAAAACTTTTCTGAATTCCACAACATTGATACTTGATGAGAGCAGATTCTTTTGCAATGTGACATTAGAATAACCGGTTTCATTAATATGATTTGAGCCATAACAATTACTCAGAGAGATAGGATTGCTTTATTTTTTCTTTAAAACATTTTTGCGTTGAAAAAAAAAACACCAATTGACCCATTTCGTCGATATTAGTGTAAAGTGGAGGTACAAATCTTGCAAACAAGTTTATTTCCGTAGGAGTATCGGTCGAGGAAATGGTGAGAATAAGATGTAAAGAAATGATAAGGACAGAAAATCTAAGATGTATTGATAAGTCGAGATATGTGGAAGGCTTCACTATGGGAGCATTGGCAGGGAGACTGTTTGCCAGATTATATGAATAGAATTAAGGAGTGAAGATTTAAAGTGGGAAATGAATGTAGAAAATGTAAGTATTGGATAAAAGGAGAAGAAATGGTATATAGGATATGTGAAAGGGGAGATGAAACAATGATGCATGTGCTGGGAGGATGTGGTGAAAGTAAATATTTGGACGATTATAAGGATATATTAAGCGGCCCTATAGCCCGAATCTTCATTCTACTATGGATTTCGGCTGTGAAAGCCTTTGTTCTTATATTATGTTATTGGTTCGTCCAATATATTTCTTTACGGTAAGACATACAGACTAATAGTGCTTCTTAAGGAATCGAAGGTTTTATANTGATGCATGTGCTGGGAGGATGTGGTGAAAGTAAATATTTGGACGATTATAAGGATATATTAAGTGGGAGTGGCGATGGACTGATCCTATTGAAAAATATAATTAAAAAAGGAAGGGGTTTAGTTTTGTTAATGGAATGTGGGAGGGGTGTAGTGTTCAAATAAAGGATAAAAAACTAGCTCACTGGTATATCGTAAGGTATTTTATTGTAAGGGATTTCAGTTATAAATAGAAAAGGATTAGGAGGGTAGTAACAAATAGCAGTGAATAAGCAAGAAACAACAGAGATTTAAAACGGGATTGTGTGGAAATGAATTGTAGACAATTATGTAGGTATTGCAATATGATGTGGGGAAATAATAAGAAAGGGAAATATGTATGTACAGTATAGGATGATTGGAAAATATTTTCCTTTTTTTACATGTTGATGTAAATGTGAAGAATTTATAAAATAACTGCAAGTGACCCATTTCATCCCTATCAACGATTCTAGACAGATCAATACAATAATCTGTAACAATGTAATAAAACGCAATCTTTAACAATGGTTTCTATCATCTGCGTCATAAACCCACAAATATATCGCGAATGATTTGCTGCAAATATAACTTGGCGATGTGCCTTATAAATAACCTTTTGATGTCGTCCATATGCTTTATTGAAGAAATGTAGATTATTTTTCTCACTATATCGCGTTACGGTTGAATCTGAAATTAAACATACATCATATAAAAACGTTATGCACGACTTTTATTGGAACGTTTGTCATTGTCAATGAAACAGATACATTTACCACCATTTTACGATTCGTAATATGTTCTTCATAGTACCTGACGCCTGAGAAGAGAATATACGTAAGATGAATAGCATTGTGCCCGTTATTTACTCATGCTATGTATAGATTACTTAAGATCACTCAAAAGTACTTTTTTACGAACTTGCGAATTAAAGATACTATGAATTAGTTTAAAAAATTTAATGGCGCATTCTTTGCCAAATATTTTTAATAATTTTTGTTTGTATCCATGAAAAACACAAGCTGGATGACGATAATATGTATATAGATGGCGTTTACCGCGCCATTTGTGGTATTTTCTAAAATGCGCTGTTAAGACACCAGGTAAAAGTTGGTCTGGGTTCTGTCAGAGCTGCCTGCGACGCGCTGATGAGATCCAAGAAGATCGAAATCGCGATCTGCGTCTGGCAGTTTCGACAGAATACAAACCACTTCGAATTATTTTAGTCGACTATGGCAACGTGCCTATCACGTTGAGGTTGGCTACGCCGTGATTGGTTTCAGCAAGTACATATCCATATATTTAAATGGACCTTGTTGGAGCATTCGCAATCCTAAAATGTAGCATCGTACTACAGATGGCGTTTACCGTTTGTTATATTTTCTATATGTATTACAGTTTCACATTTCTTTGTAAAAGATAAAAAGCTTACATTACTTAAACATTTGGAAACTAAAACAGCAATAAAAAAACGTTTTAAAAGATAAAATATGACATAAAAAATGAAGCACAAACGTAGGTAACTACTTTTACTTACAGGCAGTAAAATTGTGTTTCTAGTCTGTAAATAGCCGTTGATTTATATGTGGAATCTAGAATCTTTGAAAATGACCCTTTGATCGAAACATAGTTTTATTATTCTTCTTCTTTATTGCCTATAAATAAGTATTAATGTTTTCGCCATTTACATTTCAAATTCATTCGCAATATGATACACAACCTAATCAGTCTAACAAGTGGACATATTAAAATCAACCTTCATTATAAGGTCGTCAGTCTTAAGACTGGTTGGACACGCACCTCCACTCTTTCCTATCCTGAGCTAAACTTCGCATTTCCCTAAAACTAGAACAACCCACATCCTCAACTATTTACGAACAATAATCTAATGTAGGTATATCTCTACCCCTCCTAACTCCTGTTTCTGCCTCTAATATATATCTGACTAGTCCTTCATGCCTGAGAAGGTGTCCTACCAAACTATTTCGCCTATTTTTTATTGACTTCCATAGAGTCCTCTGTTCTCCTATTCTTTCCAATACCTCTTCATTTTTAACTTTCTCTATCCACGGTATTGTCATCATTCGCTTATAACACCACATTTCGAACGCTTCTAACCTTTTCTTTTCCTCCGCGCCTACTGTTCATGTTTCGCACCCGTACCGCACCGTACTCAAACAACTTTTTTCGAATTTCTAAATTAACCGTTTCGCGAGCATAGAAGTGACTTCTGTTTATTAAAGACGATTCGACCCTGTGCTATACTCTGCTTTATATCCCTACTACTCCTTCCGTCCTAACTTACCTGACTTCCTAGATACCTAAAATCGGCCACTTGTTCTAATTTTTCGTCTCCTATCCTTATATTCGCTCTTTTCCTACTTTTCCTTCCCTTTATACCAATATTTTTGTTCTACTTTCATTTATTTTCATACAATACTGTTTTGTCAAATAGCAGCAAGTACTCACGTCAAAATAACGTTTTATTATTTTATTTATTTAAAGAAGACAGTATTTTTTCTATCTTGTTAACCAAGTGTATGTACGTCGTGCTATTCAAATTAATAAGGAAAACTGATTTTTAACTCACTACGTCTGAGAAATCAGATAAATTAAGTGAAATGAAAGGAAAAGGGCTTACTGATTTTAGTATCTAATGAAATTTCAAATTTAATTACGTACCTATGTACATTTCTTTTCGCAGAGCAGTTGTAAGACGTTCCCTTACTTGATGTAAAGGATAACAACACAGATTGTATGATTGTATGTGATGCTGAATTAGCTTCATCTACGGATTTTTCTGTTCATAGCAAAATAAACTTTATTTAAGAATAAAATGTTAACAATTATTTGGCAAGGCACTTACTCGTATTTCTTATGATTCAAACGTCAATTGAAAATTTTTACTTTCCCCTTAGACATTTTGAAATTTACCTTTGCCTGTTTGTACCCTCATTACTTCTGAGTTTTCATGTTGCTGTTTTTGAATTTTCGAGTCAAAGCTTTTAAAATTTTTTGTATGATTAACCGCTACTTTTTAATCAATACATCGAAGACGCGATCAACATCACCAAAGACAGTACAACTGTAGGGATAGATATACCGGGGCAAAAGATTGGTATGCTTAGATTTGCAGATGGTATAGCAGTATTACCATCCAGCAAGGAGGACCTAGAGGTAGCTTTAAATAAAATGGAAGCGGTACTGAGAAATCAGTACTGTATGAAAATAAATAAAAGTAAAATTAAAATACTGGTATGCAAGGCAGGAAAAAGTAGGGAAAGATCAAATATAAAGATAGGAGACGAAAAATTAGAAGAAGTGGATGATTTTAGATATCTAGGAGGTCAAATAAGTCAGGACGGAAGGAGTAGTAGGGATATAAAGCAGAGGATAGGGCAGGCTCATGTCGCCTTTAATAAAAAGAAGTAGTTAGTAGGACACCTTCCCAGGCCTATAGGCAAACGATGAGGATAATCTGCGTAGAAAATGTTAGAAATGAAGAGGTATTAGAAAGAATAGGAGAACAGAGGACTCTATGGAAGTCAATAAAAAATAGGCGAGATAGGTTGGTAGGGCATCTTCTCAGGCATGAAGGTCTAGTCAGAGACATATTAGAGGCAGAAACAGGAGTTAGAAAGGGTAGAGGTAGAGCTAGATTAGATTACTAGTTTCGTTAATAGTTAAGGATATGGGTTGTTCTTGTTTTAGTGAAATGCGAAGTTTAGCTCAGGATAGGAAAGAGTGGAGGTACGTGTCCAACCAGTCTTAGGACCGACGACCTTATGATGATGATGATGGTGATGTATGATTATATCTAAAATCGGCACTCCATTGAACACCTCAATACATCGTAGCCCAATGACAAACTGTTAAGAAACGTATATGACAGTAAGTCTGAGTATATGAGAATATATCTTGATTCTAACTGCGCTGTGACGTCAAAGTTCATTGGTTGTGTTCGGAGATCGTCTCTTTCGGACATTTTGAATGTTAAGGTACGCTTCAGCAAACTCGCCTTTTTTTACCGGGAACCTACTCTTAAATTCGTTCGTTATAGCAGGAGACCTTCAAGTTAGGTACCTCTTGCACCGACTCGTGATAGGGAGTGTTACCAAACTTAAAGACATCGTTATTATAACGAAAAAAGTTGATAATACGTGCCCTGACCATGCTGACTACAATCTACACTATACTTGTGCTGAAGTACTCAAACTTTTAACAAATCGCAATAGACTGGGATCAATTGCAACGATCAAATCTGCCCTAATATTGACAACATCTTCATTCCACTTTTCTTGTACTACTTTGGACTGCACATCGTCGTCTGCCGTCCTACATTTTTTTCAAGCGAGCTAAACTCCCCAACACAATATAAATAAATAAAGAAAATACATTGACCGCAGTGAATTTATTGTAATCATCTTGTTTATACTTATGATGCTACATCCCCCTGATCTTGGGAAAGAGCAAACACCCTTTTGTCACGTTACCTCTGCAAAACAGACCTTTGTGTTCAAAACTAGTGTCCAAAACTGTACTGAGGTCATTAATTGGTTATATAACTGTACAACCGCAGCCCAGTCACCATTTTACCGCAGTGCTTTAAAACCTCAGCCCCAAATAATGTTATTTGCTAATATAATATCATGGTAGTAATAAAATGGGTGATACAGGGTGCTTTTTTATGGGCCCCAAAAATGCTGA